CCCGTGCGCCGAGCTGATCCCTCGGCACCGTTTTTCCCGAAGTCGGAAAGAAGAGGGCACCACAGGCCACCCACCTTTGCAGGCTTGCCCTGAGCTCTTGCCTTACGGGCCCTAGAGCATCCACATGACTCGAGGCCACGTGCACTCTGAAAGCGCGAGGCATAAGCCAGCCCCCAGCGCGCACGGCGCTCCACAGCATGAGGGACTTTGCTACAAGCCAAGCCCACGACACCTCTCGATTGAGGCCCTGTGCTACATAGAAGGCCAAAGTTCCCCATGGGTGTTTCTCCACGTCGCACCCAACTCTCTACCAGTTGAATTGGCAACCCCCAACGGGGCATAGGCGAACTACGCTGCAGGGTTCTGGTCCAAGCAGTCTTCTCAACAGGGATAAATCAGAAATGTGCATTGCACCACGCATTTGCCAGCTAGTGGCAAACCAAGTGGTCCTGCTGACAACAACCCATGCATGTCTGCCAACTGCAAGGACAGAACCCGGTAGCCTGTCCGCAGCTGAGGAAAACTCAAGCTGAAGCTTGCCGCCATGATTCAAAGGGTTGGCAAGAAAAGAATTGAGCAAATTGAGCAAAATCAGAAAGCCACTCCTCAAATGTCCAGGCCTCAAGTCAGCCGCTTTCAGCCCCCCTCTCCGTCCCTCTGCCAAGCGTCAATCAGCTCTCTTGAAACCCGTCTCACAACAAGGTCCCCGGCGGCTTGGTTCTTGCTCTCAGTGTCGAAGCCTCGTGGCACGAAAGGACAATTACGAACTGCGCTTGGTGGAGCTTGGCAAGCGGAACCCATCCCACACCTCTTGTCAAGACAAAAAATCATTGCTCACGTTGAGGCCCTTCCTTTTGCCAGTCCAGAACATGTAACTCCATCTGAGGTAAAGAAAGGGTAGATGACACCCTCCAACAAGAGGCGGACGTTTGTCAAGCCTCTGGCTTCAAGGGGCCATCAATCGCCCTTGAGCGCCATCGGCGCCCAAAAAAAATAGAATGTGGCATAGCACGGGTTCGCTTTGTTGCAGTGAAATGGGAAGGGCAAAATATGCACCACTAAACAGTCTCCTGATTACCTCTATGATATGCAAGGGAAGTCCCAAGTGGAATTTGCCGACGAGGAAGCACTCATTCGACGTAACCCGCTCAAAAAGGGATCTATAGTTCTTTTTCCCGGATGCTCAAGCGTGAGCGGCCGGGATTCCAGCATGGATTAAATCTGGGTCCAGCTGGCCCCTCCACCGAGGCATTTCTTTGCATGTGAAGTTTGCTCACCCCCCCCCCCAAAAAAAAACCGCGAACTGGGCATATCATGTCTAGCTGGGCAAAAGCTGAGGCTGCCAAGATCCGCTTCCAATTTTGAGCATTCGATTTCTACTGCAAAGCGTGCCACTCGACATAGTGTGGCATGACGGGTGACGTTGGCTCGAGCCCCCCTTGTCCAGCAACATGCTCCAATACTTCGGCACTTGAAACTCAACAAAGTTATGTACCAAGAGCTCGCCCTCAACAATATGCAGTTCTTGCAAATACACATCACGTCCAAGATCCACACGTGTACCATGTGACAAGCGGGAAGGCGACAAATTTGCAGCGACAAATGTACAGTTTTAGCGAACACGCAACATGCAATGACAATAGTAGCACACATTGGCATAGGAAACAACATGGTGCACGTTCTTCTAATAACTTTTAATTGCCTACGCCGCACCGACGCTGGCCACACAATACCAGTAAAGATGCTTTCTGATTGTACGCTTCAGCACACCAAGTGCAGCAAGCAGAAGCACGCTCACATACAGAACGCAGAACAAATATGTCAAACTAACATTTAAAAAAAACAAAAAAAAAACGTTACCGGCATGAAATCGAATCAATAAAAGCCACACGGTTCCAAAACGAAACACATGTGCACATCCGTGCACACGGTGGCGGGAAGATGCGCGTATGATTCGTTCAAAGCAACAGAACCCTTTTGGTTTGCGGGCCTGTACACATTTGTTCTGTGCCCGTAGCCACTGAGGCAGGATGAAAAACAGCAAGTGTGGCCCAACGTAGCCCCCACAAGAACCCTGCCATCTACCGAACGGCACCGCCTTGCTGTGGAGTGCCCGTGGAGGGCCGGGCAGGGTCATGCAGTGCCTGGTCAGGTGGTGAAGCATGCAGGTTTGGCAAATCTGGACGAAACATGCTCCCCGCACACACTGGTTTACTAAGTACGGGCAAATAGCGCTCCTTAGCGTTTCGTTGCTGAACACTTCTTGCCACCACCCTCAGGCCAGTGGCGAGAGTTGGAACTGACTCCCTGCACAAGTGTTTGCTGCAACATTGGAGGCTGAAACCAAAGCAAGGCGAAGGGCCAACTTCGAAACAGGATCCACCCCGAGCTGTCCTCTTTGACAACCATGGGCTTTGGCACGCGGGTCGCTTTTGCACCCTTGTCTCTCTCTCTCTCTCTCTATCTCTCTCTCTCTCTCTCTCGCTCTCTCTCTCTCTCTCTCCAGCATCGTCGAGCAGGTCTCGCTCGTCCCAGATCAGGATTGTGAAAAAGAGGCACTAACACAGGTGGCTCATTCAGAGTCAGCGGCAAGCCAATGCCTTACCTGAATCTTCAACCTAGCTACCCATGCCGGTGGAGCGTCAGAGCAAACCCTTGTATCGCACCCGCACCCGGTTCGTGGCCCTTGTGTTGGACATTGTGTGTGCTGTAATGCTCTCGCTGTGGCACCGTGCGAATGTGCGTAGACCACTGCGAACCTCTGCGGAGATCGTGCGGGGAAATCCGTTGGTCGCCCAGCGCCACGCCAAACAAGGGGGGGTGGGGTGGGGCATGGTTTTAACGACACTCGCGCAATCCGCGCCCGCGCATGCGTTTTCTCCGCAGAAGACGCATTTTTCACGGCGCCACAGCTGCTTACGAGACGAGCGCTTGCCCCCCCCCCCCCTTGTGGTGTCTGTGTGTGTGTGTGTGTGCAGCGCTGAGTGGGCGCACGTTTCGTGGCAGGCATGTGCGGGTGCGGGTGCGGCAGTGACTGATTTGCTGGGTGCGGAAGTGACAAACGTGCCGCCATGGGTATGGTGGTGCGTAATTATGCGTGATCTGACTCGCATTCTTCTTTTGTGAATCCTGTGTGCTTGCGTGTGGCGTGCGGAGTGATTCTCTGCGCGCGTGAGCGTGAGCCCTCTGTGTTTGTGCTCGCCCTCGTCCAAGTGCATGTGTGAAATTGTCCTGCTGCGCAACCACAGGATTTTTGGTTCGACCCCAAAGCAAGACACAACCCTGACTCGCCGCACATCTTGACTTGAACTATTCTCCTTCAAACTGGCAAAATACCATCAAGGATGCTGACATGCTGAGAAGCTTGTCTGGACACATGACATCCCACACAGCCCTCACACCCAGCGCGCACCTTCAATAAGGCGTACAAAGTCTGCGCCTGAAGCGGCTACGCGCCGCTTCGGTGCTCTTCACCCTTGCCACTTTCATGTTCGACTTCCAACTGTGGGAGTCTGCGCAGGGAGTCGAAGTCATACGGGCACCAAGAAAGCGATGCCAAGCAAGTGGAACCTTAAAAGGGCTCTCTTTGAAGTTAAATACGGTTGCAAGTAGGAGCATCTCCGTGCAGGGTCCGGTGTAACACCATGTGGCATTCACAAATACCTTCCGAAATGGACTGCAGCTCAAGCATCTCAGGCCACCACAAGAGCCCTTGTCCCGCCTTGGGTGGAACAACAGCCAAATTCAGCCCGAATTGGCTCAACTTCAAACATGGCTCTGGCCACCATGCGCCCCAAAGGTTAAAGCAAAAGGCTACTGTGGCCCAGCCCCTTGCGGCAATCACTTCTGCAAGTGCTGAGGCTCTGGCTCTGTTGATGCCATGTCCATGTATCCCCTTAGAAAAGAATGCATCCAACCACTTGCGCAGAGTTGCATGTGTCCGAAAAACATCACATGTATGTGCACCCATAAAAAGATATAACGTGTATATGATATTATATGTGTGCGCGTTTGTGCAGGGCCGAAAGGGCGTGCTTTGTGCATACGTGTGTGTGTGTGTGTGTGCGCGTGTGCGCGTGCGCGTGCGCGTGCGCGTGCGCGTGCGCGTGCGCGTGAGCGCGTGTGCGTGTGCGTGTGCGTGTGCGTGTGCGTGCGCGTGTGCGTGTGCGTGTGCGTGTGCGTGTGCGTGTGCGTGTGCGTGTGCGTGTGCGTGTGCGTGTGCGTGTGCGTGTGCGTGTGCGTGTGCGCGTGCGCGTGCGTGTGCGTGTGCGTGTGCGTGTGCGTGTGCGTGTGCGTGTGCGTGTGCGTGTGCGTGTGCGTGTGCGTGTGCGTGTGCGTGTGCGTGTGCGTGTGCGTGTGCGTGTGCGTGTGCGTGTGCGTGTGCGTGTGCGCGTGCACGTGGCGTGTGTGTGTGTGGTGTGCGTGTGCGTGTGCGTGTGTGTGTGTGTGGTGTGGGTGTGTGTGTGTGTGTGTGTGTGTGTGTGTGTGTGTGTGTGTGTGTGTGTGTGTGTGTGTGTGTGTGTGTGTGTGTGTGTGTGTGTGTGTGTGTGTGTGTGTGTGTGTGTGTGTGTGTGTGCGTGCGCGTGCGTGTGCGTGCGTGTGCGTGGGCTGCGTGGGCGTGGGCGTGGGCGTGGGCGTGCGCGTGGGCGTGGGCGTGCGTGTGCTTGTGCGTCTGCGTGTGCGTTCGCGTGCGCGTGGGCGTGGGCGTGGGCGTGCGCGTGTGCGTGTGCATGTGCATGTGTGTGTGTGTGTGCGCGCGCGTTCGTGCGTGCGTGCGTGGGTGGGTGGGTGTGTGTGTGTGTGTGTGTGGGTGTGAGTGCGTGCGTGCGCGTGCGCGGGGGTGTCGGGTTGTTTCGTGTGTTTGTCTTTTCTTTGTGTGTGCGTGCGTGTTTGTACGCGTGTGCTTTTCGACAAACGTCATGTATTAGCAAAAGCAGCCATCAGAAGCACCTTTTTTGCAATGCGGCCACATTTCAGTCGAACAGCGGCGCAGGGAGCTGCTAGGCTGAACCGAAGGATTTTGCAGCAAGACCTAGGTTTGGCACATGGTGGGAGATATTGCGCCAGATTTGGGGGAAAACAACTCACTCGTGACAGGTAATGTGCTCAGTTGAAGGTGAACAAACATGGTGCTCGGCGGAGCTGGCACTGCCTCATGGCACAGCCTGGTGGCTGCAAGAAATGAATTTGACATAGTTTGACCCAGGTTGCCCTTTCCCCCTCTGCCCAAGGTTGCATGACTCCTGGGCTTCAGAACCCTCGTCAAGCACAAGCAAAGCCCAAGGTTTCAATGCCAGGGAACTTACAACCGAATCAAATTCTGTAGCCCATGCTTGCCCAGCCGCTCCGCACAGGGAGCGCCTCTTCGAGTCCCTCCAAATCTTCGCTGTCTTCCAGCTTGAGGGCGAACTGCACATCCGCGGCAAGCAATCATTGCTTTGGATTGTGCTTGGCGATGTTGCTCAGTGCAAAAGAATAGGGAGATTGAAATCCGACCATAGCGCCATCTGGACTCAAACAGGGTGCAAAAATTGACAGCTCCCATCCCCCAAAGCAACGCTGAACCGCCAGGTGCATTCTTAGCTCTGACCATGGCCGGTTGTTCATGCTATGCCGCTTCCAGAAGAAAAACAACACCACTGCACGGCTATGTCTCGAGGATCCTCAGCCCAATGGCCTAAGAAATTGCAAGTCTGGAATCTGGGATCTTTGTGGCCGATGTTGCAGCTTAGGGCAGCATGAGTACCAGCGTGTTGTGGGCTCAAGGCAGCTGACATTGCCAACCACAAAGCCGCACAACATGTGTGTGTGTGACTACATGTGTGTGTGTGTTAGCAAATTGTGATGGCACTGTGGAAGTGTTGCCAAGCCCTCGGCCCTGCGTGAGGATTGTAGGATTGGGTGGTTGCCTCTACTGGTGGCCCTTCTGGAGAAATTAATGGATGATTCAATGTTCTGCCACGGCGCTACGATGAGGGCATTGAGTATGTACCCACCTGCGGCCACGAGCCCGATATGTACGGTCGTGCCGTTGGACAGCTTGTCAAACCTAAGCATTGCCTTCAAGCTCTGCAAAAGCACAAGGAAGACATGCAAGCATGTCCTTTTCGCATTCGTGCCTGTGAGGAAGAAAAAGAAGGCCTCCCAACCTTGGTCGGCTTGTGGAATCCGGGGGGGGGGGGGGTCACTGACCAACCACTGAAATAGCTGGAGTCGGCATCCGGATAGAAGTCGGAGGCTGGCTCGATTAAGATCTCGAAAAGCAGCACTCCTGTCTTGCCCCTTGCTTGTTGCCCCTGCTTGTTGGCCTGGACATTGGATGCGGCCCCGCTTCCCGACAAGTAAACGCCAGACTGATGGCAATGTGCCAAGCCAAGCTCTTGTGGAGAGGCAAATCTTGCTGCCACGGGTCTCCCAAAGCTTTCCATGAGCTGCTCGAAGATCAGCGGTGCCAGAATGCCGCCAACGCGTCCACCAGCGATGCATGCCGCCTGGGCTTTGATAGTGTCACAACTTGCCGTTCAGGAAGGCATCTTACCCATGGTTATAAGTCTCCTAAGTGGGTCAAAAACCATGCTTACTAGCCACATACCAAGTAATCTGCCCCTTTAAGTATTCTTGTAGGATGCTTCTCAGAAATCTCTGGGACATTTGGCCATGGGGCATAACCTATGGCTCCATTTTGGGGTGGATGAACATCCATTTGCCACCTATGTTGATGCTCACCAGGGGTGCAGGGTGTTGACCCACAGCCATTTATCTACTTGAGGCCCCGGCCAGCGACTCAGTGGCCAATGCCGCCGAGCAACTGTGCCAGTGGTGCGCACGGCCACCGGGAAGGCAGTGCATGCACAGGCGTACACAACCACCTGAGCGCCCAAGCGCCCATCAAA